TACAGAGGAGCTTGTTTAAAATAGCAAACATAATTCCCGAGAAGATTTCTCCTATTTTTTCTGTACCCCAAGACTTCTCCAGCAGTGGGTTACACCCCATGGTGGAGGGAACCGCAGCTGGGGGGACGTGCCTGTTGGAGTGATCCTGCAGCCCCAGGGCTGGGTCCACACCTGCGCTTGGGACTGGGGGTCCCAGGGCAGGAGAAGCCTCAGCACTGTCCCCGCTCCTGGCACAGCGCCTGCTGACAGGGGAGCAAGCCATGCAGGGCAGCTGTACGAGCCTCATGTGTGCCATGTCTACCTTGTGGGCAGGAAAGACCCCTTCCCCAAAAGACCATCCTTCCTCCTTTCCTAATTTGTAGGATATTGTCCGGTGGGTTCAGTGCTCTTGCTTTCTCTCTGCAAATTTAGCTGTGGACAGAAACAGCAGGAGTGTTGCAGGTGAGTCTCGGCTTCGCAGAGCTACACCGAGAAAAACCTCGCATCTTTCCTTACGCAGGAATTTGAACAAACACCCTGCGCCCCCTCCAGCTCTCGGCTGCAGGGTTCAGCTAAAACATGCGGGATGGGGAGAGGAGACAAATGGAAAAGCCGACTGAAGAAGCATCTCCAAACTGCAGGCCCAGAGCAGGCCCTGCGTGGGGCTGCCGTGCCCTCTGCCGGGCTGCTTCCACCACCCACCCGGCCCTGCCTGTGCGCCGCTGCCACATCACACTTCTGCGTCCAGGGCTCAGGCATCTTCCTTGGCCAAAGCCCTGAAGCGTAAGTGGAGTGGTAATTAAGTTCCTAAAGTAATGAGGAAGGTCGTTTCAATTAAACCAGACACCACCATCACTTAGGCTTCCTGCAGGCGTGGAAGGCTAGCGGGACCTCCTGTGCCAAGGGCAGCCCCAAAGTGCCATTCCTGCCCCAAGCGCTTTTATCTGCCCAGTTTGCTTCCCAGCTTCCTTCTTCACCTTCCATAGACTTAAAAAGTCACTTTCACTCCTCACGTGGAAAAGCCTCTCCAGGAGGAGAGGCAGCAACACCTGCAGCTTCCCACCCCAGAGGTGACAGCTGATAAATGATCAGGAAGCACCACATTAAAAAGCCCTTTTAATAGTGGGCCAGGGATTGCCCTAACAACCAGCCAACCCACCAGGAGACAGCTCAACAGGGAAGCTTGCTTGCCAGCTCCACAGCAGACAGTTAAGCGGGGCCATCGGGTGGGCTTCCTGAGGCGGGCAGTTGGGCGCTCCTGCATCACCGCTTGAGTCACAATGGTGGAACGCCGGACCCACCCGCCTCCCCTCCAGTCGTGCTGCAGCCATGGCCCCGCCGGCCGCTGCGGCGAGAGCGGCTAAGAGGAGGGGCGCAAAGAGACCGTCGCTTAAGCAGGGCAGGGCTTGGTAAGCCCGGGATTTGCATTTCCTGAACACCTGCGGGGAGAGGAAGCAGGAGGGGGCGGGCAGGGGCCCGCGCCGCCGCCCGGTCCCGACTGGCGGCATC